GCCTAACATGCAAAGGAGTTCCTGCTACAAAAAAAGGCCCTGGGTCTTGACAACAAACAAGGTAAACAGAATAACAAGCAAGAGGTGGGTGTGGCTGGATAACCACACTTCTGGTAACATGGGGGTGCGGCCTAATGTGCTAATGAGCTGTGCAGTCAGGGGTGTGGACTAATATGCTAATGAGTTCCTGCTGTTGGGTGTGGCCTATTATGCTAATGAGTTCCTGCTGGGCTTTTTCTACAAAAAGAGCCCTGTTAACATCAATGGGGCTGCCTGGGATTGACCCCGGGACCCTCTGAATGCAAAGCAGAGGCTCTTCCACTGAGCCAGAGCCCCTCCCCAATACTGGGGCTTGGTTTGGTTGTAGGGTGGTGTCAGCTCCAGGTTGGGAAATACCTGGAGATTTTGGGGGTGGAGCCTGGGCAGAGTGGGGGTTTGGGGAGGGGAGGGACTTCGACGGGATAGAATGCCACAGAGCTCGCCTTCCAAAGCGGCCATTTTCTCCAGGGGAACTGCTCTCTGTGGCCTGGGGATCAGTTGTAATAGCAGGAGATCTCCAGGCATCACCTGGATGCTGGCAACCCCATGCGGTCTCCCCCCCCCACTCCAACCGAGCACTAATGCTGCATTAAGCTGAATGTAAACATAGATTTCAAGGTCTGTAGTGTAAAACACAAGGGCCGCGGTGGCTCAAGTGGTTCAGACGCTGAGCTGCAGACCGGAAGGTTGGTAGCTCGGCAGTTCGGGACCCGAGTGCCACGTGACGGAGTGAGCTCCCGTCTCTGGCCCCAGCTCCTGCCAACCGAGCAGTTTGAAAGCGAGAAATGGCAAGTCGATCAACAGGTCCCTGCAGGAGCGCACAGGAGCGGAGCTCCGGCAGTCAAGAGCCCCGGGGGTGGTCACAGGCAACAAGCCCCGCCCCCTGCTCCCAGCAGCCCACAGTCAGAGCAAGAAGCAGCCAGGTAAGTTGCAGAGCCCCCCGGTCCAAGACCATCCAGTGGCACCTTTAAGACCAAGTTGTATTCACGTACGAGCTCTCCCTCCTCTGCGAGGACAGATCTGCACGTCCCCCCCCTCCATAGCTAGCAATCCAAAACAGTTCAGTGGCACCTTTAAGACCAAGTTTCTTTAAGACCATTTTTCTTGCCGTTTTTAGCATCCCTCGCAAGCCTCAGCCCCATCTGTGCTTTAGCCTTTCTGACACCATCCCTACAGATTCGAGCCTGCTTCTTGTACTCACCCTCCGTAATCTGACCCTCCTTCCATTTCCTGTACATTTCCCTTTTTCGTCTCAGCTCTTCAGATATCACGGTTGTCGTTTTTGTTTAGTTACAACCTATCCCATGACCTCACGTTTGTATAACACCACCCCAGTCGGCCGACTACTGGGATCCTTCCCAGTCAGTAGGCTTGCCAGCCTCCAGGTAGGGCCTGGAGACCCCCCAGATTTACTGCTGATCTGCAGACTACGGAGGTCAGTTCCCCTGGAGGAAATAATAGCTTTGGAGGGTGGACTCTACAGTGCCACATCCTCGCTGAGCTCCCTCACCCTCTCCAGGCACCTCCTGCAAATCTCCAGGAACTTCTCCAGTCTGAGCTGGCAACCCTACATCCGCTCTGGCCAAGTCAACGGGGACCCCTGGAGCTCAGGAAGGGAAAGCCGAGACTCTGCATCACAGACCGGGGCACGGAGTTCTGGCCGGGCCGCCGGAACGCGGCACGTACCTCTCTTCGTTGGGTCCAAGCAGGGGGTTTTGTCCGACCAAGCCTGGAAAGTTGATGTGGTCCCGGATCACCATGAGATCTCCGACGTGGTACAAATCGGCCAAGGCTCCGGCCGCATTGGTCACCAGCAGAATCTCCACGCCCAAGAGTTTAAACACACGGATCGGGAAGGTGACCTGCGGGAGAGGGAAGGTCGAGAAAGAAGTCCTTTTCTCCCTCTCTCACAATACAAGAATTCGTGGGCACACCATGAAACGAATGAGCAGTAGGCCTAGAACAGATCGAAGGAAGGACTTCTTCACCCCAAGATGAATTCATAGACCCGGCCGAATTGGCCAACTATCGGCCGGTCTCCAATTTGCCCTATTTGGGAAAATTGATTGAGAGGGCGGTGGCGATACAGCTGCAGGGTTTTCTGGATGACGCTTCCGTAGTAGATCCTCTCCAGTCCGGCTTCCGTCCGGGTCATGGGACGGAGACAGTGCTGGTCGCTCTGACTGACGACCTCCGGCTTGCTTCCTTTCTAAATAATGACCACTAAATAATCCACTTTCAATGCACTTTCTAACTGGATTTGAGTGTGAGAACTGGACGGGACACTGTCTGGGGGCAGGGATGCTCTGTCTTCTTGGTGCTTGGGGGGCAATGGTGGGAGGACTTCTGGAGTTCTGGCCCTGCTGGTGGACCTCCTGACGGCACCTGGGTATGGCACCAAGTAGTACATTGCAAAAAAGGTAAACTTCCGTGTATTCAAGTAGATCCAGTTCACATTCAGGTCGCCGTCGAGAGGAGAGAGAGAGAAGCCCAATCTAAAGAGGATGGTCCCCTATCACCAATGGCCAGCTTGTCCGGCATCATGTGGAAGGGAGTATGAGGGCATTGTCTCTACAGGAGAGACCTGCAGAAACCTGTGTCCCCCATGGAAGGCCATGTGAAGAGAGGGAGCGGGAGAGGACAAAGGGCACAGAGAGTGAGGAGAGGTCAGAGAGGGCAGCTTCCAGGTTAAGACAGAGACAGGCATCCGATTCATGGAGATAACACAGAGTGGTATAGCCACCCCCCATGTCCAGACTCCAGGCATGCTGAGTTGCCCACTCCAACATGCACATGGGTGGGTGGGTAGAAAGGGAGGCATGGGGACTGGGTGTCTGGTGGTGGACAGAACAGGGGGCCCTGGTCGCCAGGGGTCGTTTCGTAGAAAAAGAGCTCGGGGAACTCATTATCATAACTCATTAGCATATGCCACACCCCCTGACATCACCGGAAGTGTCATAAGGCCACACCCCCTGACATCACCGGAAGTATGTCATGAGGCCACACACCCCGCCCCCAACAGTCCCGGCCGCCGCCGGCGGCCTTGCAGCTCCCCCGCCAAGCCC